CCTAGTTGAACCTGACTATAGCTGTATCCCAATCCAGCGACCGTACGCTTCGTAGTACGCGCACTTCGCTGACTACGTACAGAGGCAGCAATATAACATAGCTAACATTAACAGTGCAGTGAATCCTGCTTGTGCCGTGACATTCAGGACTGCAAACCAAGCAGCATTCACTGAGTTTCAGCTTGTTGTGTTTGTGGATATATTACTGACTTTAATTATGCATAAAATCATCACATTCTCTGTATGATTAAGGTCGACTATAAGACTGGCTTGTTGTTCTAATCAATCATCGATATAGCAGGACGGAGGGTGATAAAGAGAAACCTCATCGGTTAAAAGACCGCCTATGAGCAAATGATTAATTAAGACTAATATCTCCAGGCAGACAGTGAAATTCTATTCTGTTTACATTTGTAAATTACTTGACTTGATTTGGTCTCTGAGGTGAGTGTCTGCATACCTATGATGTCAACTCTGTATGTGGCCAATGTTGTTGCTGCATTTCTGCTTGTGCAGTTGTAGACCTAACCACAAGAGATTAAATCTCTAACAGCAGTTCCCGAAATTAGACTACACTCATATGACCCCACACACACACGTACACACACTCAGTCACAGGAAGTTTTTAACAGAACATGTATTAAAGGAATATGAAGGTATTTGCATACGCGATGTGTCTTATAAATAAAGAGCTATCGCCTGCACTCGGTGTGAGTGTCTCCTGAGAGCCGCTCACCCGTGCACGTTGCTATTATAACAGAACTTGTCTGAGTGTCATTATTTCACCTGAATAATGTCTTGTTAATAAATAAAGGCAACCACGGTACTTGGATTGTTTTGCCACGAGTTCCCGGCATGCAATGCGCGAAAGTCACGTGGTCTGTCAGTCTCTATAAGTGCTACCTCCGAAGGATGTGGCCCCTGAATTTGGACACAAATACCGGAATTTGGACATACGATACCGATTGGATATAAAATATTCTAGGATTTTCTACTGTCACAGCTCCAGCTGATCAGGAACAGGTAATCACTGTTATTGTATCAGCAACTGTATATTGATCTGTGTCTAGCCAGTAATTCTTACTGCTCTGCCCCTCACCATGGTGACCTATTTGTGTACCTGAGCAGAGGAGGATGTGTGAGGAACAGACGGTGTCTCTGGTTGATGTTCTGGAGGAAGACGAGGAGCTAGAGGAAGAAGCTTCAGCTGTGCTGGCAGGAAGTGACTCTGACCACTGCTCCTATCCTCAGGTGAGTAAAACATCTGGCAAAACATCCCCACAGACTGATAAACCTATCTCCACTAAGGTTGGGCATATGTAAAAATTTTCCAGCCGACAATCTTCAGTCCAATAGGTGATATATTTGCAGAGACTTTTTGCTGGGTGGTGCAATATAATCATTCACAGTAGGGCTGCCACAAATGATTATTTTGATAATCAACTAGTCACTGCATTACAGTATACAATATTATTGTCACTGCTACATTTCTGTAACGTATACCAGAAATTATTTCCACTACTAATTAATTACCGTTGGGCTCAAAGGTTCTATTAATAAACTGTTAACAAATGTGTATTTATGAAGACGATTTGTGAGACTGGTAAACTTATGATACGTACGATGGTCTTTCGTTCTACACGGTGCATTTCAAGGTCCTGTACCCATCCGTCGGTAAACTGTACCTGGGCTTGTTGCAGTGACCTGAAGTTACTAAAACTTCATGAGTGTATGCACTCACTCCAAGAACTGTATAATTATAAATATGAGCGTGGTGAAAGTTGGGCAGCACTGCTAACGTCTTTTGTCCACTCTGTGTGCTCGTAAGGGTCTAGACCCTTTCACTCCTTTGATTTTTTTCCTCGTATCTTTTCTTTGACTTTTCATCAAGTCTGTCTTTGTAGACCGGCATTGTTCTCCTTCGTTTTGTACATACCTTTTTGGGGGCAAAGAAAAAGCAAGAATGTATTGGAACCGGAGAATGAACGTTTCGCGGTGCTGCAAATGCTTGCATTTGATGCGGTACTTGGATTGTTTTGCCACGAGTTCCCGGCATGCAATGCGCGAAAGTCATGTGGTCTGTCAGTCTCTATAAGTGCTACCTCCGAAGGATGTGGCCCCTGAATTTGGACACAAATACCGGAATTTGGACATACGATACCAAAGACTGCTGCTTCTTCTTCTTCTTTGGCGTTTAATGGCAGCTGGCATCCTTGTAGATGGACTGCTGCCATCTTCTGTCCGTTATTACACTCTTAAATCCTACTACTTATTCCTGCGTCTTTCAGGATATTGCCAAGCTTCAAACGACGCCTCGACTATTAAATAACCTGTAAACATGGTTATAGTTTCTCCTTGTTTCCCTCCCCATCACTGTTTTTTTTTGTTTTTGTTTTTTTTTATGTAAATAAAGTGTTTGGGGCTTTTTTTCTGAACATAGGCTACTTGCCTTTCTTTCTTTCTGTTATGAGTTTCAGTAAATGAATTGTTGCATTTTGGCGCAGCTGGAAGAGGGTGCTGTTAAAAACAGCTATTATTTTTCAATTAACTGCTTCTCTTAGCTTCAACCAATATTATTAGCAAACTTACTGTGGGAGGACTCGACTTAAGCGGTCAAAGAAGTGCAGGAGATGATGCTGTCTAGTGTAGCAAGTGATTTATTCACCATTTTGTGACCCAAACAATATTTACAAAGAAACAAATAAGAAACTCAACTCTATAATTAACTCTGCTCAAATAAACATAACTGAACTTAAATCAACGGAAATTAAGGTCAAACTGCACATAGCTACACTGACCTGAACCTTTCTTTTGAAACACCTGAGTTCTTCTGCTTAAATACTCCACATAACCAAACAATTTGTCCTCTGGACTATTCCATTCAGTAGGTAGATAAGATCAACATGATTATATTCAAACCTCTACTACTCCTCTTTACTGGCAACATGAACTCAGTGGTGTAATCAATACATATTGCAACAATAAATCTATTTCTTCATAAACCCTCTAAAATCAACTTTATTAAATTATAAGAGTTCTTCCCCGTCTGCACTTGGTCTCTTCCTGTGACCTCAGATGAACCCAGAAGGTATAAAGGAGGAATTAAAACTACATTTCCTCCTTTTGTTTCTGGAAGACAGGTAGGTAAGGTAAGTTCTAAACAATACAAATTAACAGTTGAAATAAAGAACATGTTAACTTAACAAACTTGTAGGAATTGATTTAAACCAAGATGTTATATTATATAATCTGTAAAAGTGCAAAACATAAACAAACCCGGGGTAGTAGATGTTTGCCTATTGCAGACTATATATGAAATATGGTTAAATCAAAACAATAATGTTAACTAAGAATATAGACAAATGGTCTTCTCACCCACTTTGTCACACTTACTCATGGGCAAATAAATAAATAAATCTCTCTTGTAAAAATGATCGATGATAGGGTCAGTCTATCATCTACTGCTGATTATGGGTTTGAGGGTAAAGGTTTGATGCATTCTCAATCATCCAGGTAAGTAAATCTCCAAAAGTTGATTCTGTTCATCTGGACGTAGCGTCCAGATGAACAGAATCAACTTTTGAAGAGGGTAAAGGTTAAATAGAAAAATAGAATTCAAGCATAGCCTGTGTACAGATCTGATTTGAAGTCAGCAGGTACAGTGTAGGTGTTCTGTTTTAGGATCAGATATAAATTAATTAATGAACAATGAAACTGTTCGAAAATTGTTTGCTGCTAACAGAGAAAATTAAAATAAAAAATAGAGTTCCATCTATTATTTATTATCTATTTACTGATGCTCATTAGAAAAACACAAAGACGTTACATAATATATAAAAAGCTTAGGAATCTTCTAGCAATAGTGATGCAATTTTCCAGAGATCCAATCGGTCAGTAAGTGGTGATGTCTTAGCTGTTAATCTCTAATCTGTAAATTAGCATCTGTAAATACGTAAATTAAAAAAAAAAAGAAAAAAGTAAAAGTTGGTTCAACTTAAGAACAAGTGAACCATCTTTATAGTACAAAAGATTCAGGGTTATCTCTGAAGTTACCTGGACTGGAATAAATCCTTCCTTGTAGTGCAGACCTCAGGTGACCATGTGACCAGACATCTCTCTCTCTCTTAGGGCTATGTGAAGCGGCAGGCTCTGTATGCCTGTAACACCTGCACGCCAAAGGGCAGCGAGGCGGCCGGCATCTGTTTGGCGTGCTCCTACAAATGTCATGAAGGCCATGACCTCTTTGAACTGTACACTAAGAGGTGATCAATGCTTTTATTGATAAGTTAGTCACTGACCAGAAACTACTGGTCAGTTTCTGCAGTTATCAGTTCACACGGTGAGGTGGTCAATACAACTGTCTCTTATTCTGGTGCAGGAACTTCCGCTGTGACTGTGGAAACGGGAAGTTCTCGGAGCTGCAGTGTAAACTCCATCCGGTGAGTCCTCGTTGACCTGAGTCACTAGCAGGAGGTACCTCCGAGCACAGACAGATCACCATGATAACTGATGCTGTGTGTGTGTGTGTGTGTGTGTGTGTGTGTGTGTGTTTGTTTTCCAGGACAAAGATGAGGTAAACAGTCTGAATAAATACAGTCAGAATTTCTTTGGAGTTTACTGCACCTGCGGCCGACCGTACCCAGACCCAGAGGATCAGGTAACCTCTCTCACCTGAGAAATCAGACCACTACTGACCCTTATACACAGATCTATAACCCAGTATGAGCACGTTTCAGTGACCTAAGGCTTTTGCACACCAAACGCAAATCCATGTGAATATTTTGCTTGTTGAAAATATTGTTTGGACTCGTACTTTTTTTTACCCCCTTTTTTTATGTAAATAAATGGTTCTGACCAATCAGACTATTTGGAAACCACTGCTATGATAGCTGGATCAGACTAGAAGTGTTGCTGTCTGCTCCTGAAATTCAGATAAACCATGCTTCATGTCCACTTCATTTCTTTCATAGTACATTCTTTTAAAGGGAAAACTTTTCCAAAAAAACGCAACACCGTAAGTGTGTACATGTGTCACATGAGAAATTCAAATCCCAAAAAATTATTTTTGTCTTTTTTTTTTTCTCAGGGCAGTCTGTTTTAAAGGCCTTTAGAAATTTAGAAATAAAGACTGTTAATGACATAAAGAAGAAGGAAGTGCCTCGGTGGAGAATGAGAGAATAATGTCTGGTGATAAACTTCACCCTGATGATGTCCTTCACAAAACCTTAACCCATCCTCAGAGAGTAAAACAAATCAGTACTTTACTGATCTGGGCCTGTTCCAGGAAGCAGGTTCGGCAAACTCTGAGTTTAAAAATACATTCTGAGTTTCATTTTCAGATCTTGATCAGAGTCAATTAACAACTGGCTATGCCGACTCTTGAGTTACGCATGTGTGTGAGTAGAAACAGCCATCATCAATGAATTCCTCAAATGATTCACTATGGTAAAGGATAAATAGAGAGCAGAGCTGCTATTTCAGTCCAGCAGACAAAGGAATTTGAACATGTGTCAGTGCTGACTCATATTTATTTATAAAAACAGGATGGGGAAAAAAAGGTCATTTTAATCAGTTTGGGCAACTCTCATCATATCAGTGTAACAAAGTTGGTTATAAAATATATAATTTTATTATAATGTCCTTGTTCATTAATTTGACCTTAACAACTTGAGGTTTTATTAGATGAGCGTGAATCCTAACTTTACATCTGGTTTTAAATCAAATAATTAAACTGTAATGTGACCGATCACTGATGTACCTGTGAGATTAGTTACCCATGGCAATAGACTACAGAGTGGATCTGCCCTCAAGTCTGTTTATGCCCATTTCATTATTTCAGTAATTCCAACAATAATAGTAATGCTAATAAAGAGTTACATTATTTCTGCCATTATTAGATAAAAATGCTTTAAAAATTCTTCAAACGCAAATGAAACTGACTAAAGAGAGGTTCAGGTGCTCCTGGGCTAATCAGATTTTTCAGTCGGCCTTCTGGAGAATGTCAACTGAAAAATCTGATTAGCCCAAGTGGCTATATTGATCCGAAGAACAGTCCCATTTAGACATGAGTCCACGGTTAGTGATCAGAATGGTCGATTTGTTCTGGTGATGGGCCATATTCATGCAACCCATGTTACTTTATTGAATTTATATGGTCCTAATTTTGATAGCCCAGCTTTCTTTCAACAAATATTTTATTTATTACCTAGTCTCGCTGATACTCATGTAATTTTTGGAGGCAATTTTAATTGTGTACTTGATAAACACTTGGATAGATCTACTCAAACCTCCCAGTTGTTTAACGCTTCGACTGTTCTGAATAATATGTTGAGTTCTACTAACCTAGTTGATGTTTGGAGACTGTGTAATCCTACTGGTAGAGATTACTCTTATTTTTCACAAGTGAAAAAAATCGTACTCCAGAATAGATTATTTTTTGCTTGATTCTAAATTGATGTCTAACGTTGTATGCTCAACTTATCACAACATCTTGATCTCGGATCACTCTCCAACCTCTTTAGTCCTGGACAACAGGGTAACTGGCGTTTTCACCCATCAGTCCTGTCTGAGACATCCTTTTGCCAATTTATGACAACTAAAATATCAGAATTCTTGGAAACTAATGATAAACAAGACGTTTCTGATTCGATTTTATGGGAATCCTTTAAACTGGTAATGCGAGGAGAAATTATTTCTTTTGAATCTTCATTAAAAAAAGAACGCCGGAAACGCCTGTTAGAAATAGAAACTGAATTAACACAGTTAGAACAGGACCACAAGGCCTCCTCTTGTCCCTCTTTGTTTCAAGACATCATTAAAAGGAAGTTTGAGTACAACACAATTTTATCTAGTCAAGTAACAGATCAGCTATTTAGGATCAGACAGAAGCATTTTGAGTTTGGAGATAAGCCCCATAAGCTTCTTTCTCGGCAGCTGAGAGGCTTACAGGCCAGTAGGGCTATACACAAAATTAAGTCAAGATCAGGCGAAATTTTAATCAGCCCTAAAGCTATTAATGAGCAATATAGAGAATATTATGAAGATTATGTCGAAATCTTGGGGCAATATTTCTGATTGGTTAGGGAAGCTGGATCTCCCGAAAATGAATGACGCTGCACGAGAGGCTTTAAACCCAGATATTACTATTGAAGAAGTTTCGAAAGCTATTAAGTCATTCCCCCATGGAAAGTCCCCAGGCCCAGATAGGTTTAGCATTGAATTGTATAAGAAATACTCTGAAAAGGTGGCCCCGCTTTTATTGAGAATGTTTAAGCATTCTTTCCATACTCAAGCATTTCCCCGTACGCTATATAAAGCTAATATTTCGTTGTTATTGAAAGAAGGAAAGGATGAAACAGAATGTTCCTCTTATTGACCTATTGCTTGGTTGAATTTGGATATGAAAATTTTCACTAAAATTTCGTCACTCAAAATAAGCGTCACACTCGCGGAAGCCGGTGTACCCGCCGAAACGCTGTGCATTTACTGAGACTTTCAGCCCCAGATAGGCCAATTATGGATTTTTGTATCCACATTATGTCAGCAGCTCCACCACGAACCATGTTAAAAGCAAACACCGCTCACGCCTCACAGATGACAGCTTACAGTCCTGCGTAAAGATGAAAGTGACTTCACTGTGCGCAGAGGTTCAGGAGCAGAAGTTCCATTGTAAACATATCACGGCAGACCCGACGATGTTTCCATAAACATGCTTTTCAGCATCTCTTTATTGACCACTTTTCACACACGGTTGCTGTACACATACAGCCGGCTGTAGCTTTTCAGCTCACAGCCTGACAACACAACAGCAAAGAGAGCACAGACTTTAAGGCGGCGAGGCGTGATTGCGGGTGCCGCTCAGGTGCGTCCGACTCCCATGCAGCGGCACTGCACAGCGCAAAAAGGGCATAAACACACAGCGCGGACCCGCGGATCAGAATCAGCGAGCTGTCGGCTTGCAGCCCCGACCGTCAGGTGAGAAAGGCGACATCTCACTGATTCTGATCCGCGCTGTGTGTTTATGTCTTTGTGCAGAAGCCGTGTACCTGCTCTCATTTACTGTCTTAGCTGTTTGGTGGTTGTTGAAATTTTGTGATCTTTCACCTGAGATTCTGGCATTTCGGGCAAAATAAATTAATATTAAAAAATCGATTCAGGATTTTAATGAATCGATTTTACGTTATCCAAGCCAGAATCGATTTTAATCGATAAATCGATTATAAAAACCCACCCCTACTAACATACCATAAATATTTACATAGCAAAGGAACTGGCATTCTGACAGCATCACTATCCACAAAGTCAAGTTGGAGGCTATAGATCAGCAGTCCCCAACCTTTTTTGCGCCACGGACCGGTTTATGCCCGACAATATTTTCATGGACCGGCCTTTAAGGTGTCGCGGATAAATACAACAAAATAAAACTAGTACCGGTACCGAAAAAAAAAGATTTATTCATAACACACGTGAAAAGACCCAGGAAAACCGAGTAAACGATAACAAAATAATGCTGAAAACCGATAAAAACCCTGAAAACTATACATTTCACACCTGAGCCTCAACTCTCGCGGCCCGGTACCAGTCCGAGGCCCGGGGGTTGGGGACCGCTGCTATAGATTTTATTCTGAGCTGATAATAAATCTGTTAATGTTCATCTTTAGTACACAAATGTGGTTACGTTAACTTCACGTTTTTCGTTCATGTTCTTGCAAAATCTGTAAGTTAACTTCTTTTTGCACTTTGACAGCTTTTACTATATGTAAGGAAATGACTCATAGTGTCAGTCAGCTGGTTTAGGTGCAGCAAGAAGGGAGGAGTTGGAACTCAGAGTTTGTTGAAGAAAACCTGCTAGCGAGTGGGTTTAGTTCACTGTTATCACGGTAACTGACTCAGAGTTAACGTCGATGCTTTGTCTGGAACAAAAAATCAGAGTTTCTCTTATCTTGGGATTAACAAACTGAGATATGTTAGCTAAACCTACTTCTCGGAATAGTTCCCTGCGCTGGCAGGTATTCTTGTAAACAACTAAACTACTCCTGTTAATGTCTCACCTGATGGTTTTAGCTCCTCCTCCTGTGCTGGTTTCGCTTTACTTAAGCTGTTTGTGTCTGCAGGTGGAGGATGAGATGATTCAGTGTGTGGTGTGTGAGGACTGGCTGCACGGCCGGGTGAGTCATCAATTTACCTGTTCCTGCACTTGTCTGGTGTGCCTCTCCTGACTCTTCTCCAAAAGTTGATTCTGTTCATCTGGTTTCAGTCATTATTCAAATGTATTTGTAGCACTTACGTGGAGTTACATAAACTACCAATGGATAATTACCAAAGTAATGAGTAATTTGGGCTAGTGTCAGAAGACTGAGAACAACTCTTAGAGCTCTGGTACATGAATGACAGAGAAACCAGACAAACACAATTGTGTGGCTTTTAAAAATACTTTAGTGATGTTAAGCCTTGTAAAATAAATTTGTAAACAACACAGTATCACAACAGGTTTTAACAGAATGTCAACTATAAAAATTTCCCCCGAAGTAGCAAAAAAATAGAATTAAATAAAATTGTGCACAAGTAAAAGAATTAGTCTTTTTTTTAAGTCCAAATGGTACCGGTGGGGCCCATGACAAACAGGTGTATTCCAATAGAATTCGTCCGACAAGGAGTGTGTGTGTGATTGTCTGTCCTACCGTACTACTTGTACAGTAGAGGATTGTAGTCCATCAATGTGAAAATGAGTGTATAGTGTATATGTATATCGTATATATCGTATGTATATGTATATCGTCTCCTAGGATCTTCGGTTGGCTCCCCATCCAGTGAACACTGGAACACTCTGGGTTCTGGAATCGCTGACCTGGTCTTTTGATTCGTCCCATATAAAAACCTGACCTATAAACAATGGCCAAATATATGTCACGTGCCCTTTAAGGATAACTCTCACAAATTAAACTAAAGTAGTGTCACAGTGCAGTAACAACTATTCAGATCAGCTATCATCAATTCAATCATCATCAGTTCAGTCACGTTGTACAACATTAAAATTTCAAAGTTCAAAGTATCAATATCCAAAATTTCACAGTGTCAAGATTCAATTATTTGTAACCTGCAGTAACATTAAAGATTATCTACAAGGTTTTAAACATTCAGGAATTATAGTCACCATATAATTCACTTTCATTGTAAACATTAATTACATCCATCAAAATAACTCACTGTACATATATATCTAATCACAAATAAATAAGTATATTACCCCTTTTAAGAAATGGAATAATATGCAAATGCTTATCAGAAATTGAACAAAGTGCAAATAATCAATTTCAATAACACGTAAACACAAGGGCTCAGTCCACAAATAGGAGTACTAAAATAGACGTGCTTAATCCCGCTTGTACCATAGGCCTACTAGCACAAGTGGAAATACACTAAAAATTACCTCCAAGTGTTCAATACTGAGTATTGTAAAACAACCGATTGACATCAAAATTTAAACAGGAAGTAGGATAAAGTCTCTCATAAAGTTATTTTTAGCTGCTTTAACCATTTACAGCTTTTCACATGTTAATGACTTAGTTAATGATCTACGGTAACTAGCATAACAACAGTGCGTTTCAGAGACATGCAACAACTGTACCCACACTCCGCACATCACGTGTCTGATTAGCCATATTTAGCTTACCGCCGTCGAGTGGATGCTCAGCATTTACGTGAAGCCACAGCTCAGTAAACCTTCCGGTTTCGCTCTGCCCTTGACAACAACAAGTGCAAATACATAATTTGTGAAAAATATCAGTTTAGATGGTATTTTTTTAACTCGTTAGAGGTTAATTTCTCCAGCTTACCGATAACAAAAGTTTTAGTCCGTCTGCTCTGTTCGGCTGTAGAAGCAAGAGACTGAAAACTTGGGAGCTGGTACTAAGGAGGGACAAGAGCTGCCTAGAGCTTCACCGATTGGCTGACATGCGAGGAGTGGAGTAAAACAATAGGCTCTCATCAGAGCTCATCAACCCTCTGAGAAAACTTAACCCTTGTTTGACCAGAGCATATCATATATAATCTGCGTCCCTTCTACGTTTAAATAAATATTTTGATCTCATTTCACTTTCATTAACAGGGACAGTAAGAACAGAACAATGAACATTAAATGTTTTAATTTCTCTTTTTGTTTGAGATGATTTTAGGAACTGGGTTACATATTGTTTATAAGATTGGGGAAAACTGCAGTCAGCTGAGACTGAAGAAGTCACTTGGATGAGTGACAAAACGTTTCTCCCACAAAACGCTTCGTCCAGATGAACAGAATTAACTTTTGGAGATTTACTTTCCTGGATGATTGAGAATGCATCAAGATCTCCTGACTCTTGTACCTGTATATTGTTGCAGCACCTGGGCTGTGTGGTTCCAGACTGCGTGGAGCTTCAGGAGATGATCTGCGAGTCCTGTATGAAAACACACTCGTTTCTCTGGACCTACGCTTCGCACCTAGCAGGTAAAGCGTCCTGTTATCTTACAGTACTAACCTGGCACAAACATACTGTCATACACATGTTGTGCACTTCCTGTGTGTCTATGTTTGTGTGTGTGATGCACTTCCTGTTTTAGTACCGGGTGGAGCAGCGGAGGTGAAGGAGGAAACGGCAAAAAAGCCCACCATTCCCATCAAAGAAGAAGAGGTGAGGGGGTCACAGCAGTTTGCATCACACTCACTGATCAGGGTTGATTAATCAATAATCCAAAATCTGGCAGGTTGATGATGCCATTGAGCCTAGCTGCAAGCGGAGCCGTGAGGAAGTGGAGCCGAGGTGCAGACTGAAGGAGCTGCAGGTAATTGGTCAGAAAAGAGTCCAATCAGGAGCTGTGTTCTGGCCTTCACCGTGGCGTTCCAAACTCTGCTCCTGCAGAATGTGCCAGGTACTGTGTCTGTGTTTAGTGTGTCTGAGCATGCTCTGATTGATATATAATGAGATTTTACTGAAGAGATTTATTTATTTATTTATTTATTTATTTCTCGCCTGGCGGACCGACCTGTGTGCTTAGCTGCGCCTGCTTGAAGCTGGTCTGTCCTTCCTGTTGGACGAGTCAGACACAGTCCTCGCCTACGAAAACAAAGGAAAGAACAGTGAGCAGAGACGACAGGAAGACGACCCTCTGATGTCAGCGCTCGACAACCTGAACCACGTGCAGCAGCTCGAGATCATCCATGGTACTGATACTACTACTACTACTACTACTACTTATGATTGTAATATTACACACGCAAAGTTGTAATAATTTGGTAAAAAAAAAAGAAGTGTGAGAAACTGAGTCCAGTCATTCAGGACCAATAAGTTTCAGTGATGATTTGCTGTGTGACTTTCTTATTCTCTCACATCACTGAGGAGAAAGTTTGGTCCACGCTTGTTTACAGTATTACTTCAGTTCATTTAGTTTTGCAGCATTCATTTATGCACAGCTCTCTAAATGTCCCACCACAGTCTCAGTCAGGCAGCACCTTGATACATTTCTTTTTCGGTCGTTCTGTTTGAGCTTTGCTGCTGTGCTTGGCGGGACAATTGTGCCGGTGTGTGTGGCTCGCCATCTGCCCCTGTCAGCTCTACTTGTGGGTTTTCTTTTCTTTCTTCTTCCTTTTTTTTTTTTTGCCTGTCCTGTTCGGCACTGTAGCAATCACAATTAATGCCTGAAGGCCAAGAAAAATGCCCAATGGATATACTGTATTTTTTCCAAGTAGATCATTATTGGTCCACTTGATTCATCTTTGTTATTGTTTTTTATTTATTTATTTTTTGTTTAACTTTTAAGTTATTGTTGGGTCTGTGTTTCCACAAGCCCCGCTAATTCTAGAGAGTTATTCATCATGAAGAAAACGAGACAGTCGATCGATGGATTATTTGCGCAAGGGAGGCCTCGTCTGTGTCCGCCACGAAAATGACCCCAACTCTGACCTCCTCCTGCTACCTTTTTATTGAGAGACAGTTCACACAAAACACGTCATAGGAAAGCAACGCCCACTTGGTTCTAAGACAAAGCATTTTATGTATATGTGTGTGTTGTGTGTGTGTGTGTGTGTGTGTGTGTGTGTGTGTGTGTGTGTGTGTGTGTGTGTGTGTGTGTGTGTGTGTTGTGTTGTGTGTGTGTGTGTGTGTGTGTGTGTGTTTGTGTGTGTGTGTGTGTGTGTTGTGTGTGTGTGTGTGTGTGTGTGTTGTGTGTGTGTGTGTGTGCAGACCTCCTGCTGACCAAAGGGTCATAAACGCAGGAAGCTTACATCAAAAAGAAGCAGCTCCTCCAGACAGGATGTATCTGCAATAAAACGTTACAGCCCCCCACCCAGAACCTCGAGAATCTGGGGAGGAAGGACAGTGGAATCCTTTTCATCAGAGTTGGCAAGCATAGAAATGACAACATTTAACAATTCACTCTAACCGTTATTACAAATAGAACAGACTTGACTGGAGGATAGGAAAGGGAAAGACGTAGACCAGAGAAGTTAATGAAAAACAGGGAAAGAGGGAGTGAGAGAAGATATTAAAAGTCCACTGAATCACCTACTGGAAGAAAAAAAAACAAGCAGCAGGAAAACAACACAGTAGGGAGACTACAGCAACAACCTAGATAAGTAAAAGTAAATAATAAATATTGAATGTTCTTGAGCCGGACACAAGCCTGACAACGCACGGTATGCTTTGAGACAGCAGCCAAGGAAGATATAGTGTGTATCTGTGCACGCCTGTGAGCACGAGCATGCTTGTATTCAAAAGGTTTCCCCATGTAACTATCTGATGAAGCAAGCACGGAGGAGATCCGGGCGCCAGAGCAGTCTGAGCCCCGGACCCCGAGGCCCGAGGGCACCCAAATTTCCGGAAGGGGCCATGGGTGCCAGGCCTCTGCCAAGCAACCACCAGACGTGAGTCAGTGCATACCTGAGTGCCCAGCCCCGAACATCGAGAAACACCGATGGTTGAGGGTATCAGCCACCGGCAGGGAGTGTGGCGGGAGGAGATAGGCCCTCCCAGGTGTGGAGGGCCTGAGATGTTCCCAGAGAGGTGAAGTCTAACGGTGTGTTCACACCGAACACGATAGACGCGAGCGAAAACGCCCCTAATTTGACGCGTGCACATTTGCGTGTCCAAGAAAAATCCATCGCGCCTCAGAAATGCATATTTTGACGTACGTGAACCAGAAATGTAGGAGGAATGTGGGAGGAAGTTGTGCCAGACCGGTATCTTTGCTAGATGGCAGCTGTCGAGCTAGTGTTTGAAGAGAGAGTCTCCCTTCTCTATTTACTGTGGAGAGCAGAGCAGCGGCGTTAAGGACGTCCTCGCCGTTCATCAGTGCTTCCTGTACATCTGATGCTACAATTGCATACCTGTGGGTGCAGCAGCAGGAGCTCAGGGACTGGGAGCCCGGAGAAGCAACAGGGGATGCTCTGCTGCAGAATCAGTTGGTTCTATCAAGACAGTATTAAATGTTAACAGGTTGAAAACAATAGTCATATTGTCAGAGAAAGTATATACAGTGGTCCCTCATTTATTGCAGCAGGGGTTCTCAGAATAACTAGCCCCTCGCCACGCACTTTATACACTGTTTTCCCCACACACATGAACATTAGTCACAGTTCTCACAAGTTGATTCTCAAAGTGCAAACCTTTGTAGATTGCAAAACGTAAAAGTATTATTATGCCGTGTTTTGTCTTCATCTGCCTGCCACTTTCGTGCGCCTTTTTCCCTC